CACACACCCAGGCACAACACCCACACACCTAACATAAAAGTGAAGGAAGAAAATTTAAAGGATGACACACAAGGGAATGGAAAGTCAGGGCCATAAAGACAGCACACTGTACTTTGTGAGTTTCTAGCAGACCACATGCAGCATGAAACAGGCAGCCAAAGCAAGCATGCAAGCTTACTGTCTAAGACCCTCCTGGTCATCTTGGACTTAACACTTCCTTCTTCCAGCTTGGTTCATTCCCAGGATCCAGTGTCATAACAGTTGATATGGATAACACTTGCTAGTTGCCTCACCAGCATACACCCCTTACTTATTAAGAGAAGAGGGGTTTGTTTTTTCTGTTTTCTGAGGCTGTGATGCAGTAACAATACCTCATCCTAGAAAATGACATTTGTTTCACTGGCTGCCAGAAGTGACATGTCACAGTTGTCTAATGAAAAACACAACTACTAGGTTTCTGAGATAGCTTTTACAATATAGACCCAGGCTTCTCTGTTTCTCTTCTTGAAGTGGGTTGTGTTGACCAGAGCCATGGCTGCAATGCTGGGACTAAAACCACAAGGCACCCTGAATCCTGGGATCTCTTTGCTGGCCCCCATTGCCTGCCTCTACACTTTTTGTGATGTAAGACAAAATTAACTCTCCATCCTCTTTTTTAAAAAAATCAAGTAAAGAATTATTTTTACTTTAAGCTTTATTTATTTCATGTGTATAGGTATTCTGCCTGCATACATGTTCGTACATGGCATGCATGAAGTGTCCATGGAGACCAGAATAGGGCATTGGATGTCCTATGACTAGAGTTACAGATAGTTGTAAGATGCATTGTGGGTACTGGGACTCAAACTCTGGTCTTCTGGAAGAGTAACTACTGCTCTTAACCAATGAGCTGTCTCTCTAGGCCCCAACCTCCATTCTCTTTAACCACAGATATTGTTTGGTTTAGTTTTGTTACATTCATTTACCCATGATTTATGTTGTGTAGACATTGAAAGACAAAAAAGTAAAGTTAAAGAAACCCCCCAGTTGAAGGATGGACTGACCTGGAAAGCTAACCCAGACCAATATCAGTTCCTTGGAATTTGCTAACTTCCCCTCACAAGGCCCTGAGATAACAGGACACCAAGAATTCACACGGCCCCTCCTTTCTTGTGAGTCAGCAGGTAGTGAATAGGGTCCTTAAGAAACAAAGCGATAACTGTACCTCCGGTTTGCCCAGACAAGATTAATTAGCACACCCTGAGGCCCTAAGGTCTGTTGACCCTAATAGTGAGATCATCTGGCCTCAAGGGGTCACGTACTCACTAGACAGAGGGTCAAACCCCCTCCCTAAGCTTGTGGGTTTTGCCTTTAAAGACACCTGTGACCGGGGAAGGGGACTTCTCTCTGCCTGCACACTGAGGGAGCCCGTTTGTGCAAATGTTTCCTGTTCATTAAAGCCTCTTGCGTGTTGCAGCAACTGGACTGGACATTGAGTTCTTGGGGGTACTGACCGAAACTGGGAGTCTCCTCATTCTGAGTGTCTTACAGACATAACTGACAAGCAGACTTAGTTTAAACAGCAGCATGAGGCATTAAACAAGACCCTTTATATGAAAATAAAGTTTTAAACCCATGAGATGATGATGATGTGTGGTGTTTGTACATGTTTATGTCCCTATGTGCATGTATGTCTGCGTGCATGAGGAAACCAAGAATGACTGGCATTGGGACTCCTCCTCAGTTGCTGTGCACTGTATTTTTTCATGTGAAGTCTGAAGCTCACTTACTTGGCTAGGTTGGCTGGCCAGTAAGTGCCAGGGATCCTATGGTCTCTGCCCCTCCCTACATGAGTTCAGGGGACCCCATGCTTGCATGGCAAGCTGACTGGGACATTTTCCCCAACTTCATCTGAAAAGATTTTTCTTTTGTATTTAAACATACAACTAGACAGCAGTCAGAAAAAGTAAGACATGGTGACATCATTAGAAAGGATTATTATCTTCTTTCTGAAGGCTGTGAGAGGTCCCTTCAGACTATGATGCTTCACTGGGCATTGATCAATGGTCTCTGAGGTCCCTTGTGGTAACAGTATGGTCTGCTTCTTTCTAACAAGCCATGTGCCATACAATGTTTGTGGACATGTATAGTGCCAAGGTATCTTATTTAGGGTTTCTATTGCTGCTACGGAACAGCATGACTGAAAAACAAGTTGGGGACAGAAGGGTTTATTTGGCTTACATTTCTATGTTGTTGTTCATCACTGAAGGAAGTCAGGACAGGAACTCAAACAGGGCAGGATCCTGGAGACAGGAGAGATACTGAGACCGTGGATGGGTGCTGCTTTCTGGCTTGTTTCCATGGCTTGCTAGGCCTGCTTTATTATAGAACCCAGAACCAGAAGCCCAGGGATGACTCCACCTACCATGGGCTGGAGCTCTTTGATCACTAATTGAGACAATGCCTTACAGCTGGATCTCATGGAGGCATTTCCTCAGCTGAGGCTCCTTCCTCAGATGACTCTAGATGACATACAAAACCAGCCCATATAGAAGGAAACTTGGGTAAGTGGAGAGATATTTTAACTGGTTCTCATTTAAGTGGGTTAACCAGAAGACAGCAGTTGGAGAGGTGAGGCATAAACATCCTCACTTCAGGAATGGGATGGGGGAAAGGGGGGGCTAGGGGGCAGAGTTGGTGCTATAGACTTCCTGTGAGCAGTCCAGTTGGAAGGAAGGAATGATGCACTTCCCACACTCTGCTCGGATTACTCCCTGTCCATCCAAGCTGGGTCAAAATGTTCTGTGATAGTAGAGCATCCCCAGTGTGAAATGAAGGGGGGGGGCATTTTGCAAGTTGAACCACACTGCCTGAGCAGCCGATTTAGCATCATGAACCTGTAATCCAGGTGAAAACTGACGATTACCCACACCTCACTTTACAGCACTTGACAAACCTGAAGGCTGTCACTGCCTTCTTCCTGTTTAGATGCATCCTCTTGATCATTCCACTTTGAGGGGATTTCTCTTTACTGTCTCCTGTGAGACACAGTTGCCTTGCTGTGTACACAGCTGGTTGCTATAGACAGCTGTCCTAATGTGATCCCCACCCTCCACCCCCACTATATTTTCCCAGAACCTCAGGCTGGAGCCTAACAGGTCTTCAGAGTAAGAGAGTGAAGAAGCCAAGTAGGGATTTTTTTTTTTTTAATCAGACAGACAGACAGACACAGACAGACATCTATTATGTGTGGTTGACCACATCTTTGACTTAACCTTTTCATGTTTGGTAGGATGCTATGATTTAATGGCATGCTCTCAAAGCAGAAGCCTGAAAACTACACTTCCCAGATGCCCTTGCTGCTAAACACAGTCATGTGCTCAGGTGCTTACCATTTGGACACGCTCAGTTATGACTGATTTATGGGTGAGCTTTCAGGGTTCCATGTGCTGGGCTGTCAGGCAGGTGAGGAGAAGCAGCGCCTACCTGTTGGGAATAGCCTAACTCCCAAATAATGGGATTTGAATGCTCAGTGAGCTTGTCATTAACGGGTCCTGCAAGGGACAGCAGAGTTGAGAGAATTGTTCTTATGCCTCTGCCAGAGTCCCTGAAGAAAAGTGAATTCTGCCAACACAGGATGTACATCTGCTCACAGGAGACTAGCACGCAAGTGGTAATCTCACTAGGGTTATTCAACCACTGGCTCCTTGCTGTTAGGGAAAGCCTCACCAAGGTCTAGAGGAGTGTTTTCTTCTTCCTGTTGGAGGGTGATACCTTCTAAGTGTACTCTCTTCTATTAGTAGTATGTGAGGTTTCATCTGACACCACTCATGATCAAGTTTGTTTCTTTAAATGGTTGTAGGGGGGTGCATATGTGTGTGGGTTTGAGTGCACACTCAGAGGCCAAAGAAGGAAGCTGAAAACCCTGCTCTGCCTTCTTCCCTGAAGATAACATCTCTCACTGAACCTGGAGCTAGGCTGGCAGCCCCAAGCCCCAACAATCCTCCTGTCTCCGCTCTCCACATGATGAGGTTACCGAGTGGGCATGGCCACACCTGGCTTTTTATGTGGGTGTTGTGGACAAAACCCAGGTACTTATACTTTTACAACAAGCACCCATAATTACCCACTGAGCCATGCCTCCAGCCCTGTGAGGTTCTTGTGAAAGAGGCCCGACAGAGCCCAAAAGCAGAGGGTAGGAGCCCTAAGGCAGTCAAGACACAGACAAGATGTTTCTTATAGCTCTCAGTTTGAGTAAGTTTTGAATCAACAAGGTTTTAAAAGATACTAGAACACATCAGGTCTTTAATGTTTCTCTGCTGCAACAGGAGCAAGATAAATCTTTTTAAGATTTCAAATGCATTTTTCCCTAAATGAAGAAAGTCTGGAACCATATGGCAACAAGTTTCAAAATCTGTTCATGTGCAAATGTCATGATAAAAATGGGCCGAGAGTGTTCGTGGACAGCCAGGCCACATTCTTCGAAAACAGGCAGGAAAGCTCCTGAATTCATCTTGTCATTTTATGGGGAATCTGAGTGGATCTGTCCTGGTGAACTACTACTCCTCTCAAAAACAAAAACACAAAAACAAAAACAAAACAGTATTGCTTGCTACATATGCTGAAAGAAGATTTAAGACAGAAGGGTGCAGAAAACATGTTTGGACCCAGTTCCATCTACAATGTGATCTTGTGTAAATCACCTGACCTGTCTCCTCATCTGTTAAAGAAGGGTGAGCAGTTTCAGCTCGTGGGGGCATCCTGAAGAATATACCATAACATCAGCAACACTCAGGGTTGTACGTGCTAAGGACTAAAGGTAAGGGAATCACTAAGTGATGGAGAAGGCCAGCTTCCATCTCCAGCCCAGCCCATCTCATGCATGGCATTACTCAACACAAGAACTCACTGAGTAGCCCTCAGAGGTGACAGCGGGTGATTCCTCTTGCCTTAATCAGTGAGCATAGAAAGTATATGGTCAAGGTGTTTTTTTCAGTTCTGCCATACTATCTTTTCATTTGGAGTTGAAATAAGAGGACAAGTTGCCCTTTGGGCAATGCGATTAATTAAGCTTTTATTGTGAATGGTAGCAGATTGGAGGCTTGAATCCAATCAACAAAGAGCCTGGAAAAAGCATTCATTGGAAAGCTCTCTAGGCAGTTGTTCACAGAAACAAGTTCAAACCAGAAGATGCTGCTTGGAAATCATGAGTTTAGTCACAGTTGAAAGATACAAGAATCGCTAAGTAAATTGCACAAAGAAAATCCAGTTGATGGTCCAGGAGAATGGATGTTTGTAGAGCGCAGTCTCTGAAGGGTTTTGTTTTGCTCCATGGAAGCTTTCCTTGTCGTTGTCCCTTCAGCTGGAGGTTCCTCCCTTCCCCTTAAGAACCTGGAGCAGAGAGTCTACCAACTTAAAAAAGAAAATTAGAAATAGTTATGAATACACATGAGTGATGGGGAATTCAAGTGGTACCCATCCCCAGCAGACCATCAGCATCACTGGGTACAAAGGTAAATTCTTGGGTCAACTCCCAAATCTTCTGACTTGGACATTCTGGTGAGAAAACCTGTGCTCTGCTGTCACAAGTCTTCCAGGGGATTCTAAATATAGTGTTAGAGAAGTTAACTCCTCCCACCATCTTGGAACCGTTCACTTGGGGGTCCTCATGCCTACTAAACTTGTCTTCTGATCTAATTCCTCGGGTGTGTTTTAACCACTGTTGAAAGTTAAGGGTTTTATTTATTCAAATAGAGCTAGGGAACTATGGAATGGTGTTTTTTCCTGGCTGTGCTACACTAGTCAAATGTCGGTTCTGAATCTACAAAAACTGAACCAGGAAAAGAGAGCAGTGTGGACAACTCGGGAAGAGGAGTTCACTGCCATTTGCTTGCTGGGGCCTCTGCTCAGTTTCACAGAGGAAAAAATGGTTACAATTAACAAAAACTTTATTCCCCTTCAGCAAGCTTTACCCAATGAGACGAGAAGGTGGGTCTTATTATTTTTAACCCAGACAAGAGTTTATTACTCTTCCCAGGATTCTCTGGCAATTTAGTTCCCCTGCTTCTAGACTGGTCACTTGTTCCTAATAAGGGAAGTACTGCTTGCTATTCTTAGGCAAATGGTACCTCCTCTGCAGCTCTGGCCTCCGGCAGCAGATGCTAATGAGCCCTGGGCTGGGGATGGATTCCTACACAAGCCAATTAGCTTTGCCTTCCTCCCTCGGGACCAAGATTTCAACTATCTGACTGCCAGCCTTCAGAGTTCACCATCTTTCCTGCCAAATGACCCAGTAGCCATAAAAGGAGCCAGCTGAGGATGAGAAGGAACCCCCGCCCCACGCCATACCCCTCAAAAGGTTGAACCGAAAGTTTCAGCTCAACTCAAGGAAGAGAAAGGACTAGAGAGGAAATGGGGAGAAGAAAGCAGAGTACATGGAGAATCAGGGTCCAGCAGACAGAGATGCTGAGGGGGCGGGGTCTCACTCTTCCTGCACAGAAACTGTCGGGAATCATTGGAGGATTATCAGCTATTCTTGATGTATGTTGTGTTCTATGTGAAACTCCCCTGTGTGTGAACTAGAACCACTCTAGTTTCATTTTGTTACTATGATAAAATACCTTGAGTGTGATGGCTAATCTTGGTTGTCAACTTGACACACCTAGGGAAAGGAACACTCAGTTGAGGAATTGCTTCATTAGATGACCTGTGGGGCACTGGAGAAACCCGCAAAAGAAGCTGACCTGAGCGAGTAGAAGTTCACAGACCCAAGTCTACAGCTGGGGAATCAGCATAGGACCTAACATGGGTATCAGTTAGGAGGCCTGGGCAGTCTATGGGGCCTCTGGCAATGAAACCAGTATTTATCCCTAGTGCAAGAATGGGCTTTGGCAGTCCATTCCCTATGAAGGGATATTCTCTCAGCCTAGATACACAGCGGGGTGGGGACCTAGGCCCTGCCCCAAATAAAGTGTCAGACTTTGATGATCCCCCATGGGAGGGCTCATTCTCCCTGAAGAGTGGATCGGGGTGGTTGGTGGAGGTCATGGGAGGAGGGAGAGTGAAGTGGGATTGGTATGTAAAATAAGATTTTATATATATACCATATATATGATATATATATGGTATATATATATATATGATATCAATTTCTATATCTATATCTCCTGTGGGCATTTGGGGTAGGGCTTTTCCTGTTTGCTTGTCTGTGTAGGAGGGTACAGCTCATTGTTGGCAATGTATCCCTGGGAAAGTGAGCCTGGACTGGGTAAGAAGAGTTGCTGAACATGAGCCTGAAAGCAAGCCAGTAAAGCTATGTGCCTCCTTGTGGTCTCTTCAGTTCCTGCCTGCAGGGTCCAGCCTTGGCTTCCCCAGTGATGGGCTATAACCTAAAAGCCAAATAAGCCCTTTCCTTCCCTTTTCCAAGTTGCTTTTGGTCATAGTATTTATCACAGCAACAGAAGTCAAACTAGGATATTGAAAATAAGAGCAACTTGGGGAGGAAAAGGTTTATTTTTAGCTCACAATTCCAGATACAGTCCATCATAGCAGAGAAGTAAAGCAGGCACTCAGTCAGTCACATCACACCCCTAGTGAAGAGCAGAGAGAAATAAATGTTTGCTTGATTGAGTTCGGCTTGATTTCTCCACTCTTATACAGTTTAAAAACCCTTTTCTAGGGAATGGTGGCACCCACAGTGGGAGGGGTCTTCCCACATCTATTAACTTAATCATCACAACTGTACACAGATGCGTGTATAGGTCAACCCAATGCAGATGTTCCCTCACTGAGACTTTCCCAAGTAATTCTAGATCGTACCAGTTGGCAAAAGCTAACCATCAAACATTAAGAAAAAAATACTTCCTATGCCTTAGACTGATTTTATTGGACAATCAGAGGAGTCCCTTTAAAATGAGGACAAAAGCTGGGCATGGTGGTGCATGCCTGTCACCTCAGCTGCACTGGAGGCTGAGGGCAGGAAGATCACCAGCGCAGGGCTGCTTGGACTGCATAGCAAGACTCTACCTCGAAATAAGTAAATATAGTGAGGGCAAACCTACATATCCGTTTCCTTCCCAATCAGCCTCTGGAACCTCATCCCCACCTCCATGTTCATGTCCACAAACAAAAGGATAAGTCCAAGGCTGCAAAGAGTAATGGCCAGGGTCTAAATTACAAAGAAATCCTTCATTGATTATCAAAACATTCCACAATCAAGTCCAAGATTATGAAGTAGGCCCTGGATCTGATCTGAACCCAACCTCATGCTGTAGAAACCATGGGATAGAAATTCCATTATTTTCAGGGTAACATTACAAGATTGGGGAAAGGAGAATGGGCAAAAGGAAGATGAACGCTAACTCGAACATGCCCGGCCATTCGTGCTAGCAAAGCTCTGGGGCCTGTCTTCTCTGATCCAGCAGTCTACAGTCAGTGCACATTCCCACTCACCACTCTGAATTAAGTAAATATCTTTGCCATCAAAACATAGGAAATTCTCAGTTTCTAACTACAGCTCTGGGTGAGTTGGCAACAGGACTTGGTGTTTTATGACTGCCGTGAGAGAGGAGAGCATGTGTGGAGAGTTTTTAATTTTAAGCAGAGCCCTTCAGCTTCTGAAAGCTCCTGCAGCTAATTCTGCTGGTTCTCGGCTAGATTATTAAACTTCTCTCTGACACTACGAGATACATGGGTTTCTAATAGACCATTTCTCTCGGCACTCTTTCTGTTTTTGAATAAGATGATTATAAAATGGTTTCAATTTTCACAACAACATATTTTCATTGAGGCAAAATGTCCAAAGCAAGAGACACAATTAACTGGTTTGCTCTCGGTGAAGACTAAACTCACTGTTAAATTTGTTTTTCACAGTTCTGGGAAATTTATCCAAGAGAGTAGGATGGATGTGTGCGATAGCTAATTATTCAACTTGAGGTGGAATTAAACAGGATGGGCATTTAGACTTGAGGAAAGAAAAAACAGAGCATAAAAAGATAGATCAGAAAGCAAGGCCTGGCTAAATAAAAAATAACCTTTGTAGTGTCAGGAGAAGCAGAAGCCACTTCCTATGACTGTCCCCTCAATCCATCCTGCAATATTGCCGCACAGAGACCCCTGTGAAGCTATTCTTTCATAATTCCTCAAATCTTTGACTGTTCTGCTGAATATGGGACATTGGGGGCCCTTAAGAAAGGGATTGAATTTTTAAGGAGTTCGATGACTGGCAGAGCCAAGTTCAGGGGACAAGGCAACTCCAACTGGACACTGCTGTTTGCTTAGAAAAATGAAACACAGTTGGGCTGGAGAGATGACTCAGCAGGGAAGAGTGTCACAGGGGTTTGAGTCCCAGCACCCACACGGAGGCTCACAACCATCTGTAACTCCACTTCCACGGGATCCAACACCCCTTTCTGATCTTCAAGGCCAGGCGCACGCACAGTGTACAGGCATATGGGCAGGCAAAATGCCCATAAACCTAAAATATAAATATATCTTTAATTCCTAAACAACACTAGGCACTGGAGAAGAATAACTCGGTTATGTGTGGCCAGCATGTTTTATGAAATGAACTTACGAGAGCGTATGCATTTTTGAAGCTTGTAGAAATGTACCTTTGAGGGCCTTAGAGAGTTTTGTGTTCATCAAATAAAGTAGCACTATGCAGTTATTAAACATCCACTCCAGGAAAACATTTGGCCAAGAAAAAGCATGGCCAGGTGGGGAGCTGAGAAGTCAGTTACAAGTTCACAGCAGCCTCAGAGCAAATGGGCAAAAGGGGAGCTGGCCGCCTACCACCCGTAACCCGACCACAAAGAGAGAGACTCAGACCTTTGCGAAATGCTAGTTGATTTGATCTAGATTTTTTTTTCCTTCTGAATAAAAGCCACTAAAGGCTTTCTCTCTGGGTGTTTCATGCAACAAAAGAGATTTTACTTTGCATTTACCATCAAAACTCCCCCAGTGGGTGGGCAGGAAGTGGAGCATAAAGCACCCCTCACAAAGGCAGCCCTGAACCTCTGGAAAAGGCCGTCAAAGAACTAACCACCATGACAGAGTGAAGCAGGGAGGTCTCAGAGCTCTCGACTGACAAGCAAGTTATTACCCACTTCCAGGAACAGCAAAAAAAGACCACCTTCTCCTTCCTTTATCCCAAATGTTAAGATGGGTGGGTACCATTTCCTGGAAGAGGACCTATAGGGCAATCCTGTCCCAAGCAGATAGAACTCAGGCTATTGCTCTGGAATCACCAATGAAAAGTGGTATGATTCAATTTCCTTGCCCTCAAAATTCAGAGGCTGAGGCTATACTTAGTAGTAGAGCATACTCTTAGCATGTACAGGCACTGTATTCATTTCTAGCATCAAAAAAAAAAAAAAAAAATAGAATTCCTGAGAGTGTGAACACCAAATGAGGTAAATTACTGATCCTAGTAGCTAGATTAGAGTGTATGCGTTTGGTCACATGAGTGAAGACCACAAGAGGGCATCTGCTGGAGCTGAGTTACAGAGAATTGTAAGTTGCCAGATGTGGGTGCTGAGAACTGAACTTGTGTCCTTTGCAAAAGTAGTGTGTACTCTAAATCACTGAGCCATTTCTCTACTCTTTAAGGAAGGAAATACTGACTGTGCTCATGATTTCAAAGGCTTCCTCTGTCCATCATGGGGCTGGGGAGGTCATGGCAGAGCAGCAGTAGACCAGGAAGTGGAGAAAGGATGCCTGCACCCTGTTTTTATTTACTTGTACATTCTGCTGTACACGTGTTCAAGTTGGCAGCGTTGGCAGCTGCCTTGCTTCCCATAAAATCCAGCCTCACTTATTTGCTGTCTTTGTACCTGGACATTACTGCATTGGTGCTATTATATTCCAACAAATCAGTTGGCTTCAGACAGACTCCCCAAGTTTTGGATATTAGAGTGGAAACTGAATTATTCAATCTTGGAATAAATAGAAGAAAAAAAAATACAACTTTGTATATAAACAAGAACTCTCTCCTCTGAAAAGAAATCATTTGCGAATAGGACCGTTCTTTCTCTAGTTCATATCAGAAACGAACATATCTATAAAGAGTTTATTCAAATGCTGTCTATGGGCTCACTATCAAAATACCCTGGTAAGAAGTAGGGGTGGTGGCATATACCTGTAATCTTAAACACTCAGAAGTTGAGGCAGGACAATCTGCAGGGAGAGGCCAGCCTGGGCTACAAATAAAAATTCTCATGAAAACCATAATTAGTGTTTCAAATGAGCATAATTACTAATAAAACTCCTGAACTGAATTCTGAAACTTAGATTTTTCTTCTAAGAGAAAAACTATCCTAACAAAAGAAAGATAGCATGAAAATTGAGTAGTACTCTGCTTAGCACACATGGGTGTTGGCTTAGTGTAGCAACATAAAGCCTTCCTGCCATGGTTAGTCTACATTGTCAACTTGACTGGATCTAGAATCACCTAGAGGCATACTTCTGGGCATGTCTGTAAGGCTATTTTCCAAAAAGCTTAACAGATGGGAAGACCCACACTGAATGTGGTGGCATCACCCCAAGGGGTGAGGTCCTGGATGGACTGAAAGGGGAAGAGAAAGCAAGCAGAAACCAGCATGTATCTCTGAAACACGATATGGCCCACCACCTCACGTTCCTGCTCCCACACATCTCCCACTCTGGTGGACTGCACCCTTGGATTGTGAGCCACAGTAAACCCAGCTTTTCTCAAATTGCTTTTGATCAGGTATTTTTGTACAACAGCGGAAAAAGTAACCAATATACATAACAAGCAGTTTATGTTCCCCTGATCAGATTCCCCCTCTGAACTCTCCCTAAATACCTTCCACCCCATGTCAGAAGCATTGTTTATTTCACCTTCGCGTTTTGAACATCGCTAGAGTAGTTACCATCTTCAGAATCCCAAGTAGGCTGATGCTGAGGTGGCTGATGGCTTCTGTTCCCCATGGCTTCTAGGACGCCCAGCAAATTCCTTGCAGCTTCTTCCCAGGGGCTGTACTCCCTCAGCTGCTCCTTCAGGCCATCTCCCTCAGACACGCCCAGGGATGGGAACTCATCCGAGCTCTTTTTCCCCATTAGGTGTCCTGTCAAAACAGAACAAAACCAGGACGCCACAAGTTCAGCCAAGGGGAATGAAGGAAGGAGTAACAGAAATGGACACCAGCAGGTCCTGCTTCCCAGGAGAGGCAGAATAGACAGCGGCATTTTACTATTAGGAGTTAGTCTACACATAATGCGCAGACTTTACTTTCTCTTCAAAATGTGGAGGAAACGTGTGACTCACGGGCCCTGGGTTTGGCTCTAGCACCTCCACTGACTAGAGGGGTGACCTCAGACAAGTGCCGCGGCGCCCCAGCCTTCAGTGTAATCAGCTATGAAAGGAACAGGGCAGGCCAAATCACACCTAAAAGCCTCCAAGTGTAAAGTCCTATCAATTCCGTGTGTCCAACTGAAAGGCAGAATCCTGACGTCTCCCACCACCAATTTCAAGTTTCTGCTGAAGATAAAAGTCTTGGTGTGTTTCTTTGTATGATTTAAAAAAAAAAAAATGTTGCCTTTCTCTTATCTGTAATACAATTGTACCAAAGGAATCTTTCATTTAAACTTTCTGTGAATTTTAGCTGAAATTGAATCTAGAAAACCTCACCTGGAAGTGATGGCAGGTTAAGAGTGTAATGAAAAACAAGGTGGAAAACAAGTTCTGACTGATATTCAGCAGCCACGTCGATTTGGAGGTTTCTGTTGGGTCTCTGAGAATCTCTCAGCAGTTTTAGGCACATGTGCTCACCTTACAGATTAATTAGTTAACCCTATGAAGGGGGCAAAGAACTAAAAACAGGGATATTCATGTTATCTAAGAAGTGGGTGATCAATCCCAGCTCTTCACTTTTTAAACATTTATTTAGTGAGTGTGTGTGTGTGTGAGAGAGAGAGAGAGAGATACCAATTTTTTTATATTTAATGTGTGTGTGAGAGACCAACTTTTTATATTTAGTGAGAGAGAGAGAGAGGGAGAGAAATCAACTTTTTCATATTTATTGTGGAGGTCAGAGGACAGCTTGTGGGAGTTGGTTCTCTTCCTCTACCATGTGGATCCCAGGGTTTGAGCTCAGCTTGTCTAGCTTGGTGGCAAGTGCAAACCCCCAATCCATATTTTTGTTTTGTTTATTCATTCATTGTCTGTCTGTTTGCTTGCTTTTGAGGCTGGTCTTACCATGTAGTCCCAGCTTGCCTCAAATTCACTAAGATCCACCTCCCTCTACCTACTGAGGTCTGAGATGAAGAGGAGCACCACCACACCCAGCCAGGTCCCAGTTCATCCATTGCATGGACACACTTGGTATTTCTCCACTCCCAGTTTCTCTGACACAGAGCTTTATTCTATTAATAAGCCTTCGATGCTTCTGATTTAAAGTGTACAGAAAAATAGAAGTCTCGTGGTTGCAGCACTAACTGACATTAGAGTCTGTCAAGGGAAACATTGCAGGGATAAAACTTGAATGATTGTCTATGGTTTGAAATGGAAAGAGACCCTTCACAGCAGCACTGTCCACCTTCGTTTATGTCTGTCATGTGAGCTGCAATTGGCGGTTTTCAGAATGCTTGCTCATGGGTACTTTCATTTGATTGACACCACAGTAGAATGGTGAAACGGGACTAGCTGAAACCTTCTAGATATAAGCAAAGGTTCCAGGACTATAACAAGGCTGGATGGAGTCCAGTTTCTAGCACATTATACTGTTTTGAAGTGTCTTTTACATTTCCAAGGTTTTAAAACAATGGAGCATCATCCTGGGATTTGCAATTAAGAATATGATTTACAGATAGCTAATGTCCTAAAAGAGAAGGGAGGACGATATATCAGCATATCACCCAACTTGGAAAATTTAGTTCTGTTAACATTAGGCAGTCTTAAAATGAGATTTTGAGTGAGCAAGCATTGTATCTCAGTATATTGGTATTGTGTGAATTGAAAAAACTTAATTCTGTTAGTATTATTAGGCAGTCTTCCAATGAGATTTTGAGTGAGTATTCGCCCCTCAGGAGACTCCACGCTGCTTGAAGAACTTGTTAGGGACGTTGTCCCAACTGAAGGATTAGAACCTTACATTGTTTCAGTCATCTGCCAGGTCAACCTGGTACTCAGCTGCCCACTAAATAGCCATCCATTTGGCCCTCATTGCGATTATGTTGCACAACTTCCCAGGAAGCTGATATGTCATCAGCTTTAGTTACATGGAGGAAATTGAATCATGATGACTAGAAGACAGCATTGGAACCCTGATGCCCACAGTAATTACCTCAGTCACTCTTGGAATCTCTGATTGCCTGTCATCTAGTTAAGATGTTGAAAACGAGAAAGGAGTCACTGCCAATAAAGCAGTGGGGTGATGGAGATAATTTTATGAAGACCTTCAGTTTGCTATGCTGGAATACATTTGTGGACTCTTCTCTAATGGGAAAATAGAGCCACTGCCTGTCTTATTATTGATCTGACATAGATCCTGATGACCCTAGACTGAATGTCAGTAATCACCTGCCGGTGATGTGCCATTCAACTGCTCACTTCTCGACACACACGCACGGGTTATTACAGGAAGTGCGCCATCTATAACATCTCAGGGAAGCACACATTCCCTGGGTCCTATTTCATTTTTGAGCTCGCTACTGTCAACCAAATCATCATCTCCATGGTAACATGGACAAGATACCCACTTCCACTTCATCTCCTATAATCATCTGTCACACATCCATATCAAAATAATGGAGATCTCAACATGGAGAAAAGATAAGTATTTAAAAAATAATAATAAAGCTTTGCTCTAAATGAAAAAAAAGAAGGTTTCTGTGCCTTAAAATTGTATAATATCCCACTAAAGGGCAGGTTTGAGATGTAAACTAATTTCTTCACAGTTGAAACGAGAAGACAATCCTAATTTGAGAAAATATCATTAAGATATAAAGTATTACGTACTTCCAAGAAATGTATTTATGGGGTGAAGGAGGTTGCTCAGTGGTTAAGTAACTTGCCAATGCTAGCGTGAGGACCCGACTGCAGATCCTCAGAACCCATGTAAATGATGAGCAGGCCTGGTGGCCTGCTGGTCATTCCAGCCTCAGAAGATGGAAGCAGCTGGCTAGCAAAACTAGCCACATCTGAGCTCTGGGTCTGATGGAGAGACCCTGCCTTGATGAACAAGATGGAAGAGTAATCAAGGATGGCTCCAGGTATCTCTCTCACACACACATAATGCCCTCCCCCACACACATACTCCTCATCCAAACAGTGATGTCACCCAATTCACTTTCCCAAGTCCTGCTCTATGTCAAAGTTAGAGCCAAAACCAGGAGCATTTTGGGGACGCACAGAGAATAGCCACTAGCTTTTGTATTGACCATATTTCCACCACATGAACACACTATTCCCATGAACATGAAGCCCTGCAGAAGTGTGGGCAGTTTCCAAGCAATTGATTCATTTTCCATTGCTTCTCTCAGCTGAAAAGAGTAACTCCTTGAGAGACCTGGAGTGACAATTAGTCCTAGGGTGTCACTAAGCCAGGAATGATGGCAAATGCTTGTGACCCCAGCACTACAAAAGCTGAGGCAGGAGGATCACAAATTCAAGGCTAGGCTGGGCTACAAGCTGGCTCAAAAAAGACAAGTACGGTGGCAAAGCTGGGTGACGGAGTGCTTGCTAGCGTGGGCTCACTCCTAGCATCACCAAAATTCAACCAAAACAGAACAAAAACAACCCTGAGCTATCTGCCTTTAGGAACTGGAGAGAACTGGCATTTTGGGGGAATATTACAAAACTAAAATTAAACCTCACATCACTCATCCTTGTAGATGCTCTTCAAAAATGTAGTTGTTTTTCCTCAAACACAAATGGAAGGTCTGACTGGGTATCATAGCAAGTTGGGGATATAGACTGGGCACCTTAGGCAGACTCTGCTTAAACCATATAGAACCTCGGTGGGGACTGGGATTGTAGCTCAGTATAGAGGGTGTACTAATGTGTATAAACCCTGCATTCCATCTCCTCACAGTTAAAAATATTAAATTGAGAAGAGTGTATTTGAAAATAAAAATTAAATGTTTGTGGAACCACTGTGGAGGGTGAATAAGAGGTGTACCCTAAATATTCCAGGACAGGTGTGCCCCCTAATGACAACCAGTCAGTTTTAGCTTGGCTAAAACTCACCTCTGCTGTGCTTTTAGTATTTGAGGGTGAGCTGACAGATATGAGCTCTCTTCTTGTGCGGTGATAGAGAGAAAGATAATAGAGTCGGGAGTATGGGAGTATCCATTCTTCCTTCCTGCCCACTGGCTGGTGGCTGGATCAGACAATGGCCTTTTAATCTAAGCCCTGAGAATCCCATTCTAAGAATTACCAGCTCCAACACTGGATTCTTCCACACCTTTTCACGATTCTTCATTTGGGAGTGCAGGTTTCTCTGCTTTCTCCCATGTCAATCTTCACTGCACTCCCTGTCCAGACCCCTGGATTTCTAGTGGCCCTCCATATTCTGCCATCCCTGAGATGTTGATTAAGATCTCCCAAATGATAGGATGGTAACCAGTACTCTTGACCTCTCTGGCAAAACACAACATGGAATCCCAGAGGCAGAGTTTCCAGCCTCATTCCTTCCCCAGGATCCAACCTCATGTTGGTACCCAGAATCTGAGACTTGCTTGAGTAATTTCCTTTCCCATACATTGTTCCCTGCTCCTAAGTATCTGAGTAGGGAGACACACACACACACACACACACACACACACACACACACACACACACGGAGAGAGAGAGAGAGAGAGAGAGAGAGAGAGAGAGAGAGAGAGAGAGAGAGAGAGAGAGCTCTTTAGGGAAAGGACCCGTTTCCCAAGAAATACCAAGTAGTCACAATTGACTGGAGTGGCAGGAGACGTGGGATTCAGCATCCCATGGATGCTGTGTTTGCTTGGGGAGGCATAAAGACTCCAGGCGATATTGGGAATGATAGAAGGGTACCAAGTTGTTAGCTGCTACTGGCCTCCCGGTTCCAGGAAAGCTCTGGGAGCCTGTGAGACCCAGCCTCACTCTTCACCTCGCTGTACAACAGTCCTCTCCACCTAGGCTGGAACCAAGAAGTCCAGAAGCCGGTGCCTAGGACTCAGGGCTTGTTTGCAGAAGTCAGGAAAGAGAGGAAAGATGGTCATGTGTATCTAAGAGGTGGACAAAAGCCTGGGGTTTGGGCAGTAGGAGCCAGGTAAGCTTGGAGAGGAGGCATGATCTCTGAAATCAACCAAGGCAGGGAGTGAGGGACCGGGTGGGGGCGCGCTGTAAGGACCAGGGAAACTGCATCGCTTTAAAGAGAGTAAAGGGATGATTAAACTCAGGAGAGCCTTTGAACCCAAGGTGGGAGACCCTGCTCCATGCACCACCGCAGCCTGGATTTCAGCCCACACGAATGGGGAAGCCAGTCCACTAGGCAGGACTAGGATCCGGGATTCAACAGGGGATCTCGCCCCCCCCCCCTCCAAGTTGTTTGAGAGTAGGGGCGAGGCTAGATGAGTAATAGAAGGCACTGAGCAGGTATAGAGGAAAGGTGAGCTGCAGGCAAGATTGTGAGTTTTTTAGGGGGAGAGCTTTGAGGTGGTTTAGACGCCCTGTGAAAGAGGAATGCTCACAGGTGGGAAGCTAGAGGGAAGGGACCTGGGGACCAGTCTGCCACTGGCAAGGGACTGTCAGGTTGCCCGGAACAAGAGAAGGTGGGGTGAAATTTGGGGGAGATCTGGATGTTTCAGTAGAAGGAAAGGAGCCAAGCCAAACTCCCTAGCAAAATGCTGACTTGGGGAGAGGTTCCCTCTAGCTGACGCTCCCTCCCTCTGAGGAAAGGAGTGCCAGGAATCTCACTGTCAGGACACTTACCCACAGCCCAGTGGCTGCCGCGCGGGTACATCTTGGCCAGGACAGTCCCTCCACCTGTGCCTGTGGACACTGGGGCAGCTGGTCCCCGGGGCGCCTGGCAGAGGACCAGCGCCAACAGCAAAAGTGGGAGCTCGAAGCCTCGCATGGTCCTGGCGGGAAGCCCTCGGAGCTCAGAGCTCGGAGCTCTCGGTGAAGCTGAGAGCACGCTGTCCCAGCGGCGGAGCTGCGACAGGAGGATGGTTTCAAGGAGCTCTGCCACTGCTGCTTTGAGCGCTACTGCTGCAGACTCCACGAGGCCAGGACTTTATATAAAGGAAGTCTGCGCGGGAGGGGCCGGGGGCTCTTCCACCCGGGACCGGAGCGCACTGACGTCTCCCTAGAGCGAGCCGGGCTCCCGGATGCCTGCCCGGGAAACCATCCATCTATGGCAAGTGATGAAGGGCTGGCTGAGTGTACCTTGACCCATCTCCCTTTCTCTATTAGTCCCATCCGATTAATTTCTGCCATCCTAGACGTCTTCTCCAATACGATATGGTGAATCCCTACTATGCCCCGTCCATCCCCAGCAGCAGCTGCCTCACTTGCTCTGCCAGATGTAGGATAGAGCAAGAGGATGTGCTCTGTGTACAGAGCTAAGCTAGTTCGATTAAATGCTGGCCCTCTGGCAGACATACTGCTTCCAAGGAAGGGGGGGGGGCGCTCTCCTGCGAATTTCCCTTGCTAGCGCCTAACCAATAACTCAGTGCCCCTTAGCTATTTCATACATGCAAGGCTTCTGCTGTAGAATTGCTCAGTTTCCCTCTGCCCGTTCTGTTCTCACTTCTGAAGACTGGTCACCCACCCCGCGCAATTCCATGGATGCTGAGGGGATGTGCACCATAGCAATGTGACAATAAATAGAAGCTTGTAGGAAGTCATTGCCCACGGTTTAGCTGCCCAAGCTGATCCTGTGGTTGTACTCCTAATAGGTTTCTCACCCAGGGCCAGTGAACTGCCTGCCTGTTTGTTCCCTGTGAACAGGTTGGTAAAGTCTCTGGTTTGAGTTTCTGGCAGCATCATACTACGTTTGTGCTTTCCTTAAGCGACCACACACAGCACATTGCACGGTAGTTTTCTTGGACTGGGAATGTATTTTTGTGCATGTGTCTGGTTCTAAGGAGAAAAATGCTGATTTTAAGACTGGTTTTAGTAGCCAAGGAAATACAGTAATACTATCCTGAGGGAGTGATCCAAGGGAAAGTCAAAAGGAAAAGGGAGGGATGGGGTGGCAGATACACACACACACACACACACACACACACACACACACACACACACAGAGAGAGAGAGAGAGAGAGAGAGAGAGAGAGAGAATCTGCATCTCTCCTAGATTCCCAGCCTCCGAAGCCCATCCCCAGGCTATCTGCTCTGAACACAAGAAGACTGGCATCCTCCCAAGTAGCACACTTGGGACTTGTCTGGGACCTGGGTTTGCTTCTCCATGCACCTGTAGAGCTCTGGATCACAGCTGTTCGGCATGTTTGATGAGTGAACTACTTGTCCAAGAAACGTCAGGTCTAATGCCTTCTATGACTGCAGAGGAGCTTTAAACCCTTCCTCTCCTGACTAAATGCCAGAGGAAGGTCCTTTGTTTGAGAACCTTGCTTATGTTCTGAATGCTTGTTCCAATGGCACTATGTTCAAGATTAGGTAGCCTTTAAGAAATAATGCCTGGGTGGCTTTTGAAGACAAGACCTGATACTGGTTCCAGCCTGCTTCTTCTGCCTCACAGTCCATGGCTTATCCCCCACCCCCACCAGCCTCACCCCTGTTCTCACCACTATGAACTCCGACATGTATGCCTGTGGAGAGTGTCTGCAAACATGAGCCCCGATAAGCCTTTTTTCTCTTAAGCTCTATCTATTGAATATGTTGGTCGCAGCAACACAAAATTAGCCAATACAACCATTCCAAATGATGTTTTCCTTACAACACAGAGGAAAGCCACAGTCAGAGCATTGGTGCACAAAAAGGACAGCTCTTCTGTGACTTAGGACACCTCACTTTCTGTGCCTCATGCCTGGAGCTTTTACTCTGAAGACCATACACCCTCTGCCATCTAAAGCAGAGCCATGTGGTGATGTGTGTACCCTACCCAGGCAGCCATGATGTCAGCCCTGTTCATGGCTGCACCTTGTTCAGCCCACAAAGAAGGGGTTCAGAAGATGTGAGTGGACACAATGTCCTGCAGGTACATGAGATGAGTCAGTCTCTGCACCAGAAAGATACTGGCTTGTTGCCAGGTACAAGGTGGGGCCATTCTATATTTGATTCATATATATGGACAAACCTCAATGGGTCCTGAGTGTGTGACTACTTAGGTCCCTTTTAAAGCCATCCCCTCTGGTCTGCCTTTTAGAAATGATTAACTCCACTGACTTGAAGGGAAAGCTGAACCCCTGTGAGGAAGTTCTCACCAGGCAATGGTCCATGTGACAAACAACTTCTTGTTGCTTTGATTTAGTTTGGTTTTTTGTTGTTATTTTTTTTTGGGGGGGTGTCCAAGAAAGTTGTTCCATCTGGGTATTTAGGAGTTAGGATTCATGTAATTTTGTACCTCCTCCACTCTCTCAATGCAGGAAGAACTAAAGGTTGACTCACAAAGAACTTGTCTCAGCATAAATTGATGCAGTTCACTATTTATCGAGAACATCTTGTGTCCTAGTAACTTTCACATCTCTTAGACAAAATACTGACAGCAACAACCTGAAGGAGAAGAGCTTTGTGTGGCTCAGAGTTTCACGGGTTTCTGTCCACCATTGTGGATAAAGCAGCGCATCCCATGCTAGTGGGCCAGGAATCAGAGAGATGTGTGATCCTGGCATTTAACTGGCTTTTCCTTTCTCATCCCTCATTCTATCCAGGCCTCCAGACCATCCATCTTCATAGTGCTTTCCCTTGTTGTCGCTCCTCTCTGGCAAGGTCTGATGATGAAGATTAACTCTCATCTGGAAGGAAAATGTCCCCTGAACTAAATAAACAGTATTTGTGGCTACCAGTGCCTTGTGTTCAGAAATTTCCAGTTAATCCCATTGCAGATGGGTAGCGAGTACTGATCACCATACTCAGGAGCACACCATCCCTTTCCGCATGGCCTGGGTTGCAGTTGACAGGAGGGAGAGAAAGAAGCAAATGGGCTTGCTTTTCTTCTTCTCCGTCAGCTGAGATGTAACTGTGCTCTTCTGTTCATGTCCATTTGGTCACCAGCTGCATGGTCACAGGCAAGAGCAAGGGAGGCTGGAGGTTGCATCCCGATAGTTCCATACCGGCTCTGATTACATCTCTGCAGAAGGAACAGATGAAGTTTGATAGGCAGCTAAGGACTTTGGTGTTTAGAATGGCTGAGGTACTTGGAGTGTGTTACAAATTTAATTCTATAAAATACAACTGATTCTGCAGAACTGGCCAGCAGGAGACTCTCCTGAGAGACACACAATGGACTTCTAGCCTATTTCCTCTTCTCAACAGTTCCTGGCCCTTGAGGGCTCTCCTGTTACCACCATGGACAGCACCCATCATGGTTAGGGCTGCTGTTGGCTAGACTAGGGCACTTTTTATTGACTCCTCTCTACATCCAAACTCATTTGATGTTTGTTTGTTTGAGTGGGTAGGTGGTCCTGAAATGATTCATGAGAGGAAATTACAGATCACCATACTTATTAAACCAATGAAGAGTACAAGGTATCCTTTATTGTGGACAGTGGCTGAGAGTGGGCTAGTGCCTCAGAAAGACTCTTGGTACTGAAGCTCAAGTGGTACAGCGTTTCTTACAGGCAAAACCCACAACGTTATCAGTGTTAGATGAAGTTTAGAATAACCTTTAGACATCTGTTTTGACAACATAGTAGTTATTTCATTCACAACATGACAATTTACTCCCAATAAAGCATATGGTATATGTCTTTTTAGATACATAATATTTCAGGCCAGTTTATGCCTTATAATGTTCTGCTTCAAAAAAGCATGGCTGGGTGACATGATTTGAAGGGAGAATCATGGTTTAGAAGGTATAATTTAATCAGGCCCATTTGTGTGCTGGAAAGAAACACCCACTTAAGCTAGCTCAACAAAGAAGGATGTGATGAGCTGTGAGACCACAGTGGGCAGCAGGGGAAACCCAAGGGTCATTCATCTGAACATCATGGTAACTGTGGTGGCCCCTGGCTTCCTACATACATGCCACATGAAGTGCTTCCTCCTCTGTATGACTGTTCCAGTTTGCTCTCTGTGACTGACTTCTGTGTCCACTATGCATTCCCATTCTCATGTAACTTTAGTCCACTTCCCAGCCCATCATAGCTACCCCAGCTCCTTATCAGAGGGCAGCTTCCACATCACATCTAACATCAACCTCTGGTGCAAATTGCCTATTTCTCTGTCCCTAAACTCCCAGTCTCTAAGTGAAACATGAGTGTGCTTTTGTTGAGTCACACAGGGTATAGGTTCCTCAAGACCTTATATATTGATCTTCATTCTACTACACAGCTCTGATACCTGCTCAGGGTTTAGGAATACATGCATAGGGGCAGTGACCATCTCACAGGCTCTGGGTAGGACTGTATTCCTGTGCAAAGGTGTGGCAGAAACCCAGGGATCTCATACACATGTCTCTCCTCCCTAGACCCTGAAACGTTGTCTTGGGCCTGGTATTCCATGACTTTTGGTGTGGTAAGTCTCAAACAGTTCTTATCCATGGGTATTATTTTCTTTTATGAACTTCCAGTTCTGGTAAACTTTTTACTGTGAATAGGCCCTGTTTACTGTATCCCTACTTTAGTTCACCCAGGACACTAGAACTGTTAAGAGCACCTAACCATTTGAATAACTTGCATCCTCACAGAGAATAGGTGTGTCTCAGGCCAATTCAATAAAAAAGTTACATTTTTATTAGCATTTTTAGCTGGGTTTGGGGTAAATGTATGTTTTTAGCTGGACTTCTTCAAACAGAGAAAATAACTCACATATCCACACAACTGCCTGTGGAAAATGCCAGGTTGGGAGTCTCTGCAAGAGACTAGTTTTGTTTATTTTTGTTTCCTTTTTGTCGAAAATATTTTTCCATACAATATATCCTGATTATGATTTCCCCTCCCCCTAAACTCCCCAGATCTTGCCTACCCCCCACCCACCCAAA